GTGCTCTTTTTTAAATCTTCCAGATAAAAAGTATCCCACTTTAATTTACAGGTTGTTGCGTTGAGCATGCAGATAATGCTGTTATTGCAAAATGATAATGGGGTTCTAAAGGCTTAAAATGTCATAATAAATTAGTAACCAGTTTTTTTTTATTTTGAGATTACATCATCTATGCAATAACTTAAAAGTCAATTGTTTACTTAAGATTTTGAAGTTGCTCCCACCTCATTTTGCAGGATCGAGATTGTATCTTTTTAAAATATTTTCAGATTCTTGATCACCTCGTTTTTTAAACAAAGTAATAAAAAAAGAATGGTCTTGTGCTTTCGGACGAATTGCACCAAGTTCATCATCCTGTTCATATTTTGTTGCTTAATCAATGTAACTTGGGCGTAAGGGTGCTTTACCAAACTGAAACTATCCAAAGATCTATCACAAAACTCACATTTATTGATTTTCAGTCAAAAAGTGACTGCTAGGCTTGGTTTTGAAGACACCGATATTCTATCTGTACTATCTGCTACAATTTAGATTTTCAAATTCATGACTTTACGATGTTACTATTTTCTCCGACAAAAACACAATAGTAAATTTAAAAAAAGCATCATAATAACATTAATTGAAATGATAGGTGTAACCAAAACTGTTAAAAATCTATAAATATGAAGATGCAAAGTATAATTTAAAAAACAGAGAGAATTAAAGATTTGAAGCAATAAAATAGCTCAAAAGTAATTTTTCTTCTTTTTACCGCAGAATTATATTCTAAAGATACTTTTCTTGTTCAAGGGAAAGGAAAGAAATGCTTCTGATTTCAGAATAAAAATAATTAGCCAATCACTGGCTTGCTTCAGCTAGAATTTCAAATTGATATAATAAAAATTCTGAAATCACAGAAGTTTAAAAGATAATTTGCTGAAGAAATGACATTTTTTTCCCTTCAATTTTTAAAGAACATGATAAAAACATATGACTGTGAGTGGGGAGTTTGTTACAAATTCAGATATTTAGAACACCAAGAAATTGGGGGAGGGGTAAATTCCATTTTAAAAATTAGATTTTTTGGTGACCTAAATCCATGACTTTTTTTTAAAGAATAGTTAAAATCATGACATTTCATGACAAATTTTGTTCATTACCAAAATTCATGACTTTCCAGATGTGCGGATAGCCTGTCTGTACTAGTTAATTTTAAATCTGACTTTAAATGCTCATAAACAGCAATACCAGGTACTGCCCTAAGGTACAGTACCTATTTGCCTCAGACGCTATTAAAAATCATTGTCAGTATTAATCATTTTTTTGTTGTTGCTAAGGCCGTCATTATGTAAGCCACCTGTAGGTACATCAATGATGGATGAAAGGCTTACTGTGACACAATTTTATTCGGATGAAAGTTTCCTGGAGTAATGCTTTTCCTTTAGTTTATGGAACTTGCTTATGAAGGGCATCAAACATTTGAAAAGATAGTAAAAATATAACAATTAAGCGTGATAAAAGAAAAAACACTTACTTCTGTAGATCACAATTGCCACCGAAAGGCCCTTTGTCAGAAAATCTAGAATAAAAAATTCTTATGCTAAAATCCAAAATAAATCTGTTTCAGTATTGCCAAAAATGCAATCTTAAAATATTGGGTTTTTCTAAAACAAAATTTTGAAAAATACAGTGGAAAATGTGGTATAAGTCTGCACATGGTGTTTCAATAGTATGACAACAGACAACATTATTGACAATAAACGAGGCATAAAAATGCTAAAACTAAAGAATAGAGAGCAACTGTTTAACATCAAATTATTAGGTGATTTAATGTTTGAAAGCTTTCCTATAAAACAATTGGGCAAATTCAAGACAAACTATTTTTTTAAAAATCTAATTGGTTAATGATTGCTAAACAGTTTTAAAGCTTCCACACCATATCATTTGTAATGATTCATGTTTCATAATCTCAGATTATTTTTTTTCTTCTCTTGTGTCAACTATGGTTATATTAGTGCTAGTGTTTGTATAATATGTATAATTATTTATATGAGAATAAAGATTTATTTAAATTTTTTGTTATCTTTCTTTGTTGATCACACAACAGTATTGTGCTGACTAGGAAAATAATTGTTTTCACACGCTGAATAAATATTTCTAAGATTTGTAGAGATACTTTTCAACTATATAAATGATGTAATTTGAAATTGAAAGTAGCTTGAAGCCACAATTATTATTAATTTGAAGCTTATATTCTCATTAGCTTAAAGCCCCAATAATATTAGGCATTAATATTACCTACGCCACAATTAGCTATTAAGCTTAATAGCACAATTAGTATAACCATCCATTATTAAAAGAATAAAGCAATATCATTCAGTAATTCTCAGTACTAAAATTTTGTGCTTAAATGGCAAAAAAGTTTCTCTCAAGAATTTATACACAATAACTCAAACACTATACAAATATATAACTATGCAAAAAATAAATTTAACTTCATTTTTTAAAATTTTTATTAAACTATTCATTATTGTTGAAACTAACTTAAAGTAGTGGGACATGACAAATCCTACAATAAATAATGCTATGAGTTTAGGTTTGTGGTCATTAAGTATAATTACGACTGAAGTGATTTTTGATGAAATGATTTTTACAAAATATCTTAATTATTAAGAACAAGGGATACTTTTTAAAATCATTTTTAATCTGTAGATTCATTAACATAATGTGAACCTTTTTATACCTCTTCAAATTAGATGAAATTTTATTAATATATATTTTTTTTATATAAAGCTATATTTGGGACAAAGTTGTTGATAAATAGCATGCTGATGTTATTTTTCACAATCAAACATTTAATACACTTAATTATACTGAAAATGCAAGAAAAAAATTATTTAGTAACTTTTTTACGGATATAACGTTCACCAAATTAAATTTATATTCTCAAATACAAACTTATACTTTTGAAAATTAAATTTTTGTGTATATTTAATTAATGGCTAATTAATATATTTATTGATTAAGGTAAATTTAGTAAGGCTTTTTACTTAGAACACATTTTTTTTTTTTTTTTTTATTTTNTTTTTTTTTTTTTTTTTTTTTTTTTTTTTTTTTTTTTTTTTTTTTTACTTTTGCACGCAATAAATTTCTATTAACATTTAGAAAAAAGCATGAAATATTATTAATAATGGTTACCTGGTTTTACTGGAATAAAAACACGCTTCTTGAAGATCCCATTGTAACCAAAATCAAGGAAGATCATTATAGTAAGAGTTGTATAAATAGTGGTGAGAGTCTAGCCGTCATTGCTTTTGTCTAAATAGTCTTTATTTCATGCCAAGAAAATAATATTTAACTGCTTATCTGCAATTATTTAAAAGTATCATTTTTTTATTAATGAATTCAATGTTTGTTAAACAAAGAAAATATTTTTCATGAACATACTGCATTAAGAATCCACAGCTATAACAGGGTGCGTAGCCACATTTTTTCAACAAAAAATAAGCACCTTTTAAGAAGTCAAAATATATTATTAATCATTTTCCAAAAAATAATAATCAGGAAATCAGAATAAAAATTATTTTTTCCTATCGTTTAAAGTTCTTAATTTATGAACATAAAATCAATAAGATTCAAAAACATTTTCTCTAACTTCACATAATCAAGATAAAATAAATAGTTTCTGATAAATATTGCATTTTTTTGTTATTTAGAATGACAATAGACATGGCAAAGGATTTTTAAAAGCTAGAAAATTAGCACTTTTTACTAAGCCCGAATAAAAAAAAAGCACCTTAAAGGGCTTTTAAAAAATTTAAATAAAAATAAGCACTTTTTAAAAATGCCACGCACCCTGTATAATATTTTAGATTCATTAAAATGAAAAAAAAAAAAAATCAACCAAGATTTTATTTTAGCTTGAAATGTATACCCACCTTATAATGCAGTAAATAAAAATTCAACACTAGAATGACTGAACATAGTTGTATGCCTAGAAAGAGTGAAGGGCTATCTGGGCCCTCCTTAGATTATTTGGGTGTAGATCCACATTCAAAATCTTCAAATATTATCATAATTAATTTAATAAAAACATAGATTATCGATACTAGAGTTTTCTTTCATTTATAAATATATTGAAATACTCTCTTTTTTTAAAAATGTATATTGGGGTAATGAGATACCAATCAGAATATCTAAGGAGGCACTTTGGCCCCTCCCATCACACCAGATATCAGGCTCACACAATGAATGATTAAAAAAATTAATGACGAAAAATAGTTTTAATGTATTGAGTGTTTATTACCAAATATCAAGCTGGCTTGGGAAGATTAGCATCAGACCACCAACTAGATTCAGCATCGGACCACTGACTTGATATAGATATTCAAGTAGATGGAAACCATGGGCAACATCTAATGAGTCTATTGGCTTTTATCCCAATGACACAAGGAAACATGGGTTAACGTCTCATTATGGTGAGTTAATTGTAAGAAATTTTTTGTTCATGTAATAAAATGTAGATCTTTCCCATCAAAATGTTCTCCACAAAGGGGAATTTGTCTTGAGGTTTGACGAAGGGGTTCCTTTGCTTTTTGGAGCTGAATGTAGGTTGCATGAATGTAGTGTTTTTGTTGATAAAATTTGCATATAAATGACTTTAATAGAACATTATTACAGCAAGAGAATTTAGAATTTGAATAATAATGTTTTGACGAAACCTGTTCAATTTGTGCCTATTTAATCATGCATTTACATTGTTTTCAAAAAACTTTTTTGGCTCTTACACCCATGCATTGCTACTGAATATTGAAAGTCCTGATATTTTTCATTTTCAAACCATATGGTCTATGAATTTCCAATCATGCACATAAGTAATCACCTGTCTTTTTCGACCACGTTCGTTTGATTTTGCATTGATTTCATTGTAAATACCTGTGGTTTTTCAGCTATTACACTGTAAACATTTTGGTGTATAGATGCCACCATTTTTGGGGTTGAGATAAACAGAATACATTAAGTACAGAACTGTATTTATCGTACAAAAAATTATATCACATTTGCAAAACATCAATTGTTTGAAAGATTAAAGTAAATTAAATTGAATATGCATGAAAATAATGTGTTATCAGTGATCAACCAAACAAAAAATAAACGGAACTATAATAATAAAAAATAAAATTTCTACATATACTGTAAATATTTTTTTAGCTAACTTCAATATAAAAAGTAGAGGCTACTATACAGCAACATTTCTTACAGAGAACTGCTACAAATTTCTACAATATTTTTTGAAATCCCAAAACATTTTAGCAGATATTATTATGCAGGGGATTTTCGAATGCTTCAATTCTGCCATGAAGCTACAAGATTTTTTTTAAAATAATTTTTTCGGCAGTTATACCATTATCTTTCTAAATAATTTTAAAAATCCTGATTTTTTTAAAGACAAAATTTGAATCTCAAGCTGCACACATGATTAATCACTTTTAAAGTTTTGACCACGATAGTTCGACTTAGCTCCGATTTTATCATAAATTCTGCAGTTATTGTACTGATTTCTACAAGTTTCCTAAATTCTTATTTTATTAACACGATGTTATTACAAACACATAATTAGAAATTTGATGAATGCAAGACAGTGCAAATATAAGGAAAAAAGAGCTTTTTTAATTGATGATTGTTGAAAACATGTTTAAGAATGGGAAAGAATATCTTTTAAACTCAATTTTCAGACTGATAAAAAAAAAGTCAGATAGTAATTAAAAAGCTAAAAATAGAGTCGCCACTTACAACCGAATTTCAAGAGATCTGCATATGACAATTATGAATGCAAAAGTTTGATGGCAAGCATTAGGGAACTTAAAAACGCACGACTTTTTAATGTTAGAAAGAGGGTCATGTCTGTCTAATTTTGATGAGTGTTATATGTGATCATAAGCACGCAATTAGAAGGGTTGGATTTCTTTGAAAATTCTCTTTTTGAATTTTCAAAAGTGCATTGATATTGAAAGCATATGTCTTCCTATTTAAAACCAGTATACCAAAGAGCATATAGTTAATATTAATTTAAAAATTTCAGATATCAACTAAATAAAATAACATATTTCAAACTAGTTATTTATTGTAATTTATTTAAATATTGTCAGAATTTTTTAAATTTTTATTTGTTTTAAAAATACAAAAAATAGGTATATATATTTCACACTAATACAAATTATCACCGTGCAACTGCGCACTTATTGATTATCAAACAATTAAATGACATGTTGGTTAATATTAATTTAAGTTAGTAAAAAAAATTAACAAGTTTTGGTCAAATTAATGTCCAACTGCTGTTTTCGAGACTTATTTTTTTGTGGTCCGGGAGTTTTGAAACTATTGTCTGGCACTGTTTTCTTTGCAGAGAGGCCAGGTGTCTTTCTGGACAACCTATTACCAGTTGCTATTTTTCTTGGAGTTGGATCTGGTATTTTATTGGATGTTTCAGCTACAGATGGGGTTGAAATTTGAACGGCTGTCAAACGACTTGGTCTTTTGACTGTTGATGCTTCTGAAGGATTGATAGAAGATCGAAGTCCGCTTTCATCTGAACTTGATATACCAGATACAGATGAAGTATCTACTTCAATATCAGAATTTCTAGATAGTATATCATCTTGGATTTGAGAAGAAGATGCATCACCGAATTCTAGTTTTTTTTGAATTGGTGAATCTATTTCTTCATTTTTGGACTCCATTAAAGGAACTTTGTTTAATGCCTGCTGAATTTTCTTCAGATAACTAGAGAAGTTCTTTATGCTCCTTTTAGCATAAGGATTTTTTTTCTGGAAGATGGATGACTGCAGGCTCTAAAGAAAGAGAACAGATTTATAGGTATTAAAATGGGAAACAAAAACATATTAACTCTCATTTGACACCAGGGATGCACAGCATATGAGACAAAATTGGACCTCAAAGCCTTTTAATTTGGTATCTGATGATATTAAATATTCATAAAAACATGAAGGAAAAACGGTAGCAGATCAAGGGCGCCGGCAGAATAATATAAAAAGGGGTGCAACCCTCCAACAAACTACCCCCCTTCGATTTAGTTATTCGGGCCACACCATTTTATTCAGATGTAGCAGAGGCAATCAAAATTGGCCTTACTCTTCCAGCTACTATGTGCACTATTGAACACACTTTTAGTACAATGCAATGCATCAAAACAGGGAAGCGGTCTACAATGTCTCGCAAGAGATTGAGTAGTTTGTGTATGCTCAGTGTGGATAAGAAACGAATCAAAGATGACTCAGAATTCATTAAAAAGATTATAAACATATTTGGACAGCTAACAAGACGATTTTTTTAATTGTCATGTATTAATAATTACTTAATTATTTGTTTTTGAATAAAAATATTTTCGATAAAATTTTTTTTCTTCCTGTATCTCTTTAATTGTTTAAAAAAAAAGCCAGGGGGGTGCAAGTGCACCCCCTTGCCGGTGGCCCTAAGCAAGATATATATATATATATAACAAAAAAAAAAAGCAGTCATGCTTTGTAACTGTAAAGTGACACTCAAATAAGGCTTTAAATTCCCTTAATTTTCCCAGGTCAAAATCTTAAAATTTTCCAGGTCAGCTTCCCCCCCCCCTCCATTCTTTAAAATTTAGTACATAGTTTACTTTTTGTTTCAGTTAGTACCTATTACCAAAATTAACTAAGCATCAATAACAGCATGGTGATTTACTCGTTTCTCCTAAATAAATTAGATTCATATCTCAATTAATTTTTCTTTTTAGTATGTATCTTATTTTTTTAAAAATTCCAATTATTACTTTTTACAGAAATTAATCAAATGTCATTCTTGACAATAATAGTATGGCAATTTTTTACGCCTTTCTTCTAAAGGATTTAGTAGTCTTTATAGTTCATAGCTTATTATTTTAAATTCAAATACTGTTGATTTTAAATTATTTAGTTTTGTAGAAATATGTTTTAAAATTATAGTTTTATATATATAAAAAAAATAAACATACAGTTTCATAATACTTAAGAATTACGAGTTTGGTGATGTAGTATGCTACCATGCTCACGTTGAACATTGAGTTTATCTGACATAGCAAATAAAAATTAATTAAATACTTAAGAACATGCCATAAAATCTTTTTTTGATTTAATGAGATCTATAATCATAATTGTTTACAGTTTCTTTTTTATCAATGGCGTTAGCTCTAAACCAGTGAGAAAATTCCATTTTATAAATATCTCTCCTGAATGATAAAGTTGAAATATTTGAGAGAATTTTAGAATCGGAAACTAAAATTGCCCAATCAAAGTTTTAGGATGATAGAAGTAACTGTTATAAAAAATATTATAATATTTAAAAAAAAAAAGGATAAAATTTTTGTTATGGATAGAATTTTTTTTCTTCGTTTTCAAGGACTTGAACAATCATTCAAGAACCGAAATTGATTTATAGGAGCTCTTAAAAATTGAAATAAAATGTAAGTATTTTTCAAGGACAATTCAGAGCTTTTTGAACCCTATTTAAGATGATAGATTACAAAATCGGGAGCTAAAGCTGAAAAAAAAAGTTCAAATAATTAAAAATTCAATTTTATTGTTAAAGAATTATTATGCAATAAATTTACAAATATTTATTTTTAATTAACAAAAGTCAAGTTTTTACATTTGTAAATGATCCTTGCGTCATTTTTTTAAACAATTTGTAAATATACTTAAAGAAAAATAAAAAAAAAAGGTTAAAAAAATTTAAAAGGTTAAAAACTTACATTCTACTAATTTTTCTTTTAACATAGTAACATTTATTTCTATTGCCTTAGGTAAATTTATAAATGCTCATTGAAAATGTATACAAATAAAGGATTTAAAATCTGCAAAACTTCTGGGTCTAAGTCATAGAGTTTGCATGATTGTTTAGATTTATAAGGAAAATATTTTTGTACAATAGAATTTATAAAACAAAATAATCACCACTATCAGTAATTAAAAAGTAATTACCTCTAAGATTTTCACAACGAGTTCTTTCAAATTAAGCAATGTATCAAATTGTTTTGGCATAATTTGGTAACAAACACCGTACAAATCGGATGCAGGCAGTCTCCATGGTTTTTTAAGAAATCTCTTACACAGCTTCAATGCTAACAGGTCTTGAAACTTATCCTAGGCAAATAAAAACCTTCATAAAACAATATTCAACAAATAAACTAATTTTCAGATTTTCAAAGGCAACTTACATTCAAAAAAAAATTGTATCAAGGAAAATAACCTATTGTTCAATGCACAATGAGCAAAACAGTAATAAAAAACCCTTAAATATAATTTGGTCTAATGATTGTTGAAATAATTAAATAGTTCCAGAGATATAGTCAAATACGTAAAAAGTTATATCAACATTCAAGGTTAAAACTTTTGACAGCACTCTTAACGAAACTATTATATTTTGCAGATATTAGCTACTTCCCTTATTTCGAGGAATAAGAATCCAAATTTGTAAAAAAATAAATAGAGGATGCATATTTCTTTTTGTACGACTTAGTAACTTAACCTGATGTCTAACTAGCACATTTAAGGTTAGACCCTTGATAAAGTTGCTTCTTATTTAAAATATTGCATTATAATAACATTAACATTTAAACTAAATTTAAGAGAAGTAAAAATTGTTTCCTATTTGAACTGTTAAGAAGAAATAAGCCTTGTTAATCAGTAAAAGTTAAATTTACTTATTTATTTTTATTGTGCATCATTCAAATTATTTTTTTCAAGTACAGTTGATTATTTTTAAAAATTCAGGTAATCGTTAATTATGTTATGATTAACAAGCAAAATGTTCTGATATAAAATTCTAGCAAGTGAACATATTTTATGAAAAATATTCTTTGTTTTCATGAAAATATTGAAATCTAAGAGAAAAACACTGAATGTAAAGCAATCCAAATGATTGTTTAATGGAGCAAGTAGGGGACGAAGCTTTCTGCTTTTTAAAAATTTTCTATTTGAACTGTTTTGAAGAGATAAGTAAAACTTAAATTTACTTATTTATTTCTATTGGGCCACACATTCTGCATTTTAAAGTTCAAACATTCTTTTTTAAGTACAATTAAATATTTTTCCAAATTCAGGTAATGGTTTATTTTGTTATGATTAACGCATTAACAAAAAGTTCTGGCACAGAATTACAGCAAGCATATTTATTTTATAATAAAATATTCTTTGTTTTTATGGAAAATATTGAAATTTAAGAGAAAAAGATGAAATGCAAAGCAATCACAATGATTGGTGAACAGAGTAGGCAGGGGACGGAACCTTCTTACGAAAAAATTGTTCATGTACACATTTTAACTATCATTTCTATAAAATATAGTAAATTTTACACAATTCTGTTTATACTCAACAAAGTTGCCTTATCTTATTCTAACAGGTGCTTAAAAAAGGTGCTAAGCTTATCTTGTTTACATTAATACAAAATCAGGAAATATAGGGAAATAAACAAAGTATCATTTTCTTATGAAGCTTAATAACACTTATAGCAAAATTTTGTACAATAAAAGTACAAACAGGGTACCTGCTACATTTTAGATTTTCAAATTCATGACTTTTCATGATTTTCCATGACTAATTCCAAGAACTTTTCATGACTTAACAAATTTACTAATTCTCCGACAAAAACGCAACAAATTTTAAAAAAGCACAATAACATTATTCGAAATGATAGGTATAACCAAAACTGTTATACTCTGCTTCTTCATATTTATAGATTTTAAATTGAAAAAAATAGAGTAAAGAGAGAGTTGAAACAATAAAATAGCTGAAAAAAATTCGAAAGCAAATAATTTTTTTTCTGCAGAATTATATTCTAAAGATACTTTTCTTGTTCATCAGAAAAGAAAGAAATACTTCTGATTTTTCTGTTCTCATTTCGGAATTTTAAAAAATTCGCCAATGACTACAACTACAATTTTAAATTGATAAAATTAAAAAAAATAAAAATTCTTAAATCACAGAAGAGAGAGTTTAAAAGATTCGCTCTAGAAATGATGTTTTTTCTTTCATTTTTTGAAAGAACGCATGATAAAATCATTTTATATTCTATTAAAATATGATTTAGTGCTGATTTTGTTAGGAATTCAGATATTTGGAACAGGATGGAATTGACGAGGGGGGGGGGATCCATTTTAAAAATTCGATTTTTTGGAGTCCTAAATCCATGACTTTCCCTGATTTTTTTAAAAATAATAGTAAAAATCATAACATTTCATGACAAATTTTGTTCAATACTGAAATTCATGTCTTTCCAGGTGCGCAGATACCCTGTACAAATAATAACAAGCATTGGTTTACATCAATAAAGTTTGAAAAATCTTATGATAAAAACATATAAGAAAATAACAGCAAAGCCAAATAAAATTTTATTTCCATAAAAATATTAAGTTGCATGATAAATATTATGAAGAAAATTTTTTTTTTTTTGTCTGAAGAATTAGATAAATTCTATCTATATAAAATAATGGACATAATGTAATGTTTACATACCTCATTAGATTGATTCAGGTTTTCAAATGTTTTTGAAAATACAAGCAACTGAAGAGCAATTTCTTTAATGCTTATTTCATAGAGAAAACTATTCTTTGAAGCATCAAATAAGAGGTCAATGAGCGTCAAGAATGACTGAACCAAACAATTGTAACAAGCTCTGAAAAAAGTAATAAAAGTTAATATCCTACAGGGCTGCCACTCAATTTCAGAAAAAAAATTTCTCCCGACTTTTCCAGGTACACCAGGAAATTTTAAATGAAAATCTAGATCATATTTTTTCTATACCATGCAATTTTTTATCAGTAAGCTTTTTTCTTTCTTTTTTGTTATAACAAATATTAGACTTAGTGAGAAAAAAATATCATTGAATGAGAACGAAAATATAGTAGCACTAAAATGTAAAATTTTCGTAATAATGGTAATAGATTTTAGAATCGAATCTGAATAACTAATAACTGTTAATGACAATACTAAGATTAGTTATTTTCCACCTATAATGTAAAAAATTTCCAGGTTTTTTTTAAAAATTAAATGTTGCATACGCCATCTGTAGTAAAGCAGACTCGCTTCACACACTCACTCACGAGACGGCAACGGGGAGACAGCTCCGAAAGATGTTTTAACTATAATTGTTTTGTGTTGTCTTTTAGTGTTTCCTTAATTTAAATGTAACTCTCCTAGGCTACTTTGAAGCTAATCCTGGACACTCCCCGTCCGTAATACATAGTGGGGAATAGTGAAGAGGGGTGAAATAATCTTTCAATTCTAAAACTAGTTATTTTCCATCTATAATGTTAAAAATTTACAGGTTTTTGTTAAAATATATAGTGGGAAATAGTGTAGAGGGGAGAAACATTCTTTCAATTCTAAGAGTAGTTATTTTCCATCTATAGTGTAAAAAATTTGAAGGTTTTTGTTAAAATATATAGTGGGAAATAGTGTAGAGGGGAGAAACATTCTTTCAATTCTAAGAGTAGTTATTTTTCCATCTATAATGTAAAAAATTTGTAGGTTTTTGTTAAAATATATAGTGGGAAATAGTGTAGAGGAGAGAAACATTTCTACACTATTTCCCTTATAATAACATGGAAAAATGTGGAGAAGACTGCAGGCTGAAATACAATTTTTTACAAGTAGAACTGTTAGTTGGTTAAATTTCAATTTTACAAAAAGTATTTGTTAAAAAATTATTAATTATAATATTTTATTATGATTAAAATATTTATAAATAAAATATTTTAGTTTCAAATTTGGTCAATATGTGTACTACATAAATACAATTTACAAATAAAATTTGGTTATGTTGCAGCAAGAAAATAAGAATTTAATAAGCTATAAATGCATTAAAGTTTATCTGTTAAAGAAAAAAGTTTGATAATTGATAAAACTTCAATTGGAAGAAGTACATTTCCTAGAACTCTATAATTTGTTTCAATTTTTTTTTAAAAAGGGTATCCATCATTAAATCTTGATATTGTACAAACAGCCTGCATTAAAAAAAAAACTTTGCAAGAGTTTTATGAATGATGGCAAGCTGTAAAAGACCATCACAAGGTGGTGTGCCATAGTTTACGAGACAACAAGTTACTAAGTTCAACATTGNGGGGGGGGGGGGGATCCATTTTAAAAATTAGATTTTTTGGAGACCTAAATCCATGACTATCCATGATTTTTTTAAAAATAATAGTAAAAATCATAACATTTCATGACAAATTTTGTTCAATACTGAAATTCATGACTTTCTAGGTGCGCGGATACCCTGCACAAATAATAACAAGCATTGGTTTACATCAATAAAGTTTCAAAAATCTTATAATAAAAACTTATAAGAAAATAACAGCAAAGCCAAATAAAATTTTATTTCCATAAAAATATTAAGTTGCATGATAAATATTATTAAGAAAATTTTTTTTTTCTGTGAAGAATTAGATAAATTCTACCCATATAAAATAATGTACATAATGTAATGTATACATACCTCATTAGATTGATTCAGGTTTTCAAATGTTTTTGAAAATACAAGCAACTGAAGAGCAATTTCTTTAATGCTTATTTCATAGAGAAAACTATTCTTTGAAGCATCAAATAAGAGGTCAATGAGCGTCAAGAATGACTGAACCAAACAATTGTAACAAGCACTGAAAAAAAGTAATAAAAGTTACAGGGCCCTACAGGGCTTCCACTCAATTTCAAAACAAAAAAAATTTCTCCTGACTTTTCCAGGTACACCAGGACATTTTAAATGAAAACCTAGACCATATCTTATCTATACCATGCAATTTTTTATCAGTAAACGTTTTTTTCTTCTTTTTGTTATGACAAATATTAGATTTTGTGAGAAAAAAAATATCATTGAATGAGCACGAAAATATAGTAGCCCTAAAATGTAAAATTTTCATAATAATGGTAATAGATTTTAGAATTGAATCTGAATAACTAATTACTGTTAATGACAATTCTAAGACTTGTTATTTTCCATCTATAATGTAAAAAATTTCCTGGTTTTTGTTAAAATATATAGTGGGAAATAGTGTAGAGGGAAGAAACATTCTTTCAATTCTAAGAGTAGTTATTTTCCATCTATAATGTAAAAAATTTGCAGGTTTTTGTTAAAATATATAGTGGAAAATAGTGTAGAGGGAAGAAACAATCTTTCAATTCTAAAACTAGTTATTTTCCATCTATAATGTAAAAAACTTCAAGGTTTTTGTTAGAATATGTAGTGGGAAATAGTGTAGAGGGGAGAAACATTCTTTCAATTCTAAGAGTAGTTATTTTCCATCTATAATGTAAAAAATTTGCAGGTTTTTGTTAAAATATATAGTGGGAAGTAGTGTAGAGGGGAGAAACATTTCTACACTATTTTCCTTATAATAACATGGGAAGACGTGGAGAAGATTGCAGGCTGAAATACAATTTTTTACAAGTAGAACTGTTAGTTGGTTAAATTTCAATTTTGCAAAAAGTATTTGTTAAAAATTTTTAATTATAATATTTTATTATGATTAAAATATTTATGAATAAAATATTTCAGTTTCAAATTTGGTTAACATGTGTACTACATAAATAAAATTTGGCTATGCTGCAGCATGAAAATAAGAATTTAATAAGCCATAAATGCATTAAAGTTTATCTGTTAAAGAAAAAAGTTTGATAATTGATAAAACCTCAATTGGAAGAAGTACATTTCCTAGAACTCTATAATCTGCTTCAAATTTTTTTTTTAAAAAAAGGGTATCCATCATTAAATCTTGATATTGTACAAACAGCCTGCATTAAAAAAAAAACTTTGCAAGAGTTTTATGAATGATGGCAAGCTGTAAAAGACCATCACAAGGTGGTGTGCCATAGTTTACGAGACAACAAGTTACTAAGTTCAACATTGTTAATAAAATGGGCTTCATATGATATCCACCATAGGTTGCTGTTGTTTGGAAGTCTGGAATTTCAAGTTCATTGTCAAAAGGAGTGTACACTAAAGGGTCGCGCTAACTTATTTTTAAGTTTCGAAAAAGATTTGATGGGATCAGAGTAAAACAAATCTTTAAGGTTTCCCTAAAGCTAAAAATTAAGAGGACTTAATCCTGGGGAGTTTTAAAATCCCCTTAAAAAATATTATGACTTTTATCAATGTAGCTCAACCTTGATTTTAAGTAACTCTTTGATAAAACTCATAATTCCAATAATCTATCAATGATAATGATTTTTTTTAATCAAACCAAATCGATTCTCCTTTTTAAAAAAATTTGATTTAAATCAGATTCTTTTAAAAAAATTTATTTACATTTACAAATATAATATGTAATACAATTTATTAAGAATACTTAATTATTCAGAAGCAGTATTATAACTGAAATACTACTAAAAAAATGGTAATAGTTATTGTAGAATTACTCAAAACAAATCAATGAATAAATAAAATTATAGTTATTCAAGAGTAACATTTTTAATAAATAGGTAAGACATTGAGGCTATTTGGTTAGATATCTAATTTAGAGTAAATTAATTGACATCAAAAAATCAATTTGCTGTTATTTGCATACACTAACTACATAATTGAAAATTATAAGTTTTAAACACTCTTGTATTTAAATAAACATAAAACTAAATGAGTACAGTGGAAGTATATTGATAGTAAAACAGCACACCTCTTTTATATGCAACTAATGAAAAATAAAAATTCAAGCATATAATTTTTTTATTAAGTGTATTTTCTTTTTACGCACTGATTGATTAACATTTCAAAATACCATGACAAATCAGCATTTCTATTCCATTTCAGTATTTTTTGACCTATTTGGCTCACATGTCAAATTCACATTTTGTCTTTTTTTCTTCTTAAAATAATGAGTAACAATAAAAATTTAATAAAAAATAAGCAATTTAAACCAGTTGGTTTAAGTGATTACGTCTTTAATCTACATGATATCAACTATGTTGTGAAAGCCAAAATACTAGTGAAGGTTTTCAAAACTAATTTATTTTAGCAAAATATAAAATTCCAATCATTTCATTATGTTACTACTTATGTTACTACTTCATTAAATTCTGTGTTGCACAGTTTAAAGACTGCTCACAAAATGCAAGTTTGATTAAGAACACTTTAGTCCAGTTTTCAATATTGTAAAAATATCTTTATTTGCCACGATTCTAAAGCAGGCAATAAAGTAATAACTTACTTTGTTTGGGCAAAAAACGGGAAAAACATTTCCAACTCATTCCGAGTCGATGCTAAACCATCAGGATGAAAATAGACCATTATAACATTTGCCAGGATTACAGGGGATGAAATTTTGTGACACATATACAATTTCAATATTCCCTTCAATATTACTTCATTTTCATAATCTTCATCCTATAATCAAAAATCACAATGATCAATAACATATATTTTGTCTGCCATCTTAATAATAGGAAAATTCCATGGATGTAATTGATTAGAATAGGACTAATTGATTAGAATAGGACTAATTGATTAGACTAGAACTAATTGATTAGATTAGGATCTAATTCATTAGAATAATTCAGTGGATCAAAGGCAGTCAATAGCAAGGGAAATTTTGCATCAAAAATTAATTTTAAATAAAAATATAATTTAATAATAAATATTTTTTATAAATAAAAAGCATCACAACAACTAATTTTATTTTTTCAAGAATCATATCATCAACAAAAGATAGAAAAAACCTTGACCATATTTATGGGCTTGATTATATTTATTATTAAAACAGCTATTTTTTTAATAACTGGTGTAACTGTATTTTTAGCATTTAAAAATTTGTTAGGGTTTGTTGGACCTAATTAATTTTTTATCCTACTATTAATTTATTACATTTTAAACTGTTATAATTTTAATAATAATTTTTATAGTACTTTTTAATCTTGATACTTTTTAACCTAATAATTTTTAGGACTCTATAATTTTGTCTGTAAATTTGGGTTCAAAACATGGAACAAATATTAAACGATTATACTATACATTGCATTAAACTATTTGAAAAATGGTAAAAGTACTTATTTACATTGTCGTTTGAAATGTCTAATTTTTATTACACGTAATTTTTGGAGGAAAAAAAAAATCACACAGTAGTTAATTGTTATGCAAAACTTTAGTACCTTGTTAAATGATGATTTTGCAATTCAGAATGAATGAATTAGAATTCATATTTATTATTAGTAAATTAATGATAGCAGAAATACTACTCTAACTCATTTTTTTTTTTTTTTTTTTTTTTTTACAGTTAGACAACTTTTTACTTCAATTCTACCTTATCACAATGTAAACTCTTTTTACATGATTTTTCAAATAGATAGGAAATAATTATCATTAAACTAAAATGGTGAAACTTTATATGAGTTCTTTTGCACTATAGTCTTCGGATAACTGAGTAAAATATTGATTCAGAGAATGAAAAGACAGTAAATACTTGTAGTAAATTGTTAACGTATGTCTGTCTTGTTTGTATTATGAAAATTTGGAGATGAAACTGAATTCCTAGAGGCACAAGCTAAGTAATCTTATAGTCAATAATAATAAAAACACAAGAACAAATTGGAAATACATGTTTCCCTATCCTCAGTCTAAACACAAACAGTAGAAAATAGATAAATTTTTTTAAAAAGTAAACAATTTACAGGTACGTGTAAATCATTTTATTTTAGAATTTACTTATTTAAGTTTTACATATCGAACAAATTTACTTATTTAAGTTTTATATATAGAAAGAACAAATCGGAAATACAAGTTCTCCATATCCTCGGTCTAAACACAAAAGTAGAAAATAGATTAATTTATATTTTTAAAAAGCAAAAAATTCACAAGTAAAACACTTTATTCCAGAATTCCTTTTTTTATCTAAGATTTATCATTTTTAAAAATTCTGTTCCAGAGTTTTGTTACATAGTGTATAATTTTGTTAAGATGCAAGGTGTTAAAAGAAAAAAAAAGTAGCTTAAATTAAAACACACTTCACACAACAGAAAACACACATTAAAGTTCACTGAAATTTGCTGTTATTATAACTATTTTAACTTCCTCATAAATTAAAAAGATAAAAATTAAATAAGTTTTGTCGATTAACATAAATTACTTCATAAGATTTCCAAATATCAATCAATTAACATAGTATTACTTCAAAAGCTTTCAAAATATTGGTGACTGTGAGTTCTAATTTCTCTTGACCATCATTAGAAAAATCAGCAAAAACTTCTGAGCCATGACACTGCAAAATATCAAACATCCCCTCGAAAAGTCTGTTTCTTAAGGGACCAGACTCCATATGTATAGCCTAAAAAAATATTCATCTATTAATTAACAAATAATCTTAGTCAAGTTAATTAAGAAATATTTAAATTTTTAACAACTTTAAAATTTATTTAAATGCGCTTACATCTTCAAAAATGCACCAAGATAGTTTTGCCTCTTTAATATCTAAAAGGCAATATGATGTTAAGGCAGAGATCGCACAAGTTTTGATATCTTCATCTACGGAGTTCAAATAATTGATTATCTGAAATCAAAAAGAATAACACAAGTAAGTATATTTAAAATAATATAAAGTTTTCTGCATTATGCAAATTTTGTAGCAGAAAAACACTTGTTAAATATTGAAATTGGTAAGAAGTACTAAGGCAGTAAAACACTACGGCTGAATTTGAAAGAAATAGAAAATATCCAAAATTATTCAAAGTAGCTAACAGTTTGCTTTTAATATAATAAAATCTTAAGATGAAGGGAAGAAACGATGAAATTGCTTTGAAAGTTAATATAAATTAGGTTTTGGTATTTAGTTAATGCAAGAAAAACAAAAATGTAAAATGCAATAGTACATTATATAATGTACATAATAGTCATAAAGTAAAAAATGAGGAATATATAATAAGATTAACTTACAAATTTATCCTTAATATTTCTAACAGCAGGAGTCAGAGAGGTTACTTCTGTTAAAACTTGCGACACGATAGCAAAACACTTTAACAGAATGTTTTTTTCCTGTAAGTTAAAAATAGTTATTAGTTTTATTTCAGAAGTTCAAAATTAAATTTGTTAAATAAGTTTATAAGATGTAAAACATTATGACAAATATTTTGACTTTTTCAAAATCTTTAAAATTATAACCTTGATGCTTAACTAATTTCGGTAATAACTGAAATAAACTATGTACCACAAATCATAATTAATAGAGAAAAGCAAAAACTTCCCATACTATTTTTAACTTCAATGATGCCTAATCAATTTTGGTAATAAGTATTAATTGAAATAAAAATTAAGGTATATACTGAAAATCGAAATTAATAGCAAAATGGTCTAACTTGCTCAGGAGGAACATAAAAAATCATCATACTATCAATGACGCCAATGGTGCTTTAATTCATTTTGATACTAGGCACTTTTGATATTATTGACGCAATTTTAATCAACAGCAAATATATTAATGTAGGTAAAATTAGTGGATTCAGTACTTTTTAAAACTGCATTAGTGTTGTGTAGTTTTTTACATAGTGCTGTGTTGAAAGAGGAGTTTCCTGGGCCTTCGTAAAGGATAGGTACTAGAGAAAATTACTTAAATAAAGTTAATTTTGATGTAAAAACCATTAGAGAAATAGATATGCTATCAAAGAAGTTGTTGTTGTAGGCCATTAAGGCATTAGAACGGCGAATGTTCTTGTTTTCCAGTGGCGCCATCTGTGGCAAGAATTCGATTTTTGCCACACCCGTTTATAGCACTGACCCAATCATTTATCCACAGATCGTAATTTTGACCTGAACCAAAGAACAATCAATCTCAAATCCAATAGCCCCAGAGGTATAATTTGTTATGGAAACATAGAGGACTTAGTGATCCGACAGATTTAATGCGCACCAGTCACCATTTACCACATGGGGAATTTTCGGCCGGCTGGATTCAAACTTCAGTTCCCATGAATGCGAGTTCAGTGTCCTACCAACCAGGCTATCTCGGCCTATCAAAGAATAAAAAATAAATCTGCAAAAAACATTAAAGCGATGTACTAACATGATCCAGAGAAAACTGCATCAGTTTCTGCAAATCCTCAAGAACTTCCAAAATATCATTGTGAATATGATCTTTTTCTTTTGGAGAAAAAGTAAGGTGAAGAGTAACGAAATAAGGCACCAGTTCTTTTGGCACATAGGGATGTCGTAGCAAGTTCAGAACCATTGGAAAAACTTCATCACTGCAATTATTCAATAATACATGAGTACGTTTAAGAATTTATGTATAATAATTGTATAAATAGTTTAGCATTCATACCATTTTTTAATACCTAATGTTTCCATAATATCACATAGAAACAAGAGAAGCTCAGTAAAGACGCACACCTCAACTTCAGGACACGAGGAATCATCTAGGCATCTGTGGAAATAATAACTTCAATGAAACAAAACATCTTCAGGGTAGCTGCAAATGCTAAAAAAAAAATTCTTGACTTTTTCAGATTGATTTTATTAAATTTTCCCGAAACTGATGGGTGATTCATGTAACTGATGGCATAAATTTTTTAAAAATTTATTTTACAGCTATGCCTTGTTCTTTTACATAAAATATATAATAAAACACTTGTTGTTAGAATGAAAAAGAAAGAAAAATACATAAATGAAATAAAAACTATTACAAGACTAATTTTTTGAGGAAGAAAAAAAAAAAAACCAGACTTTTCAGGTATCTCAAACTAGTAATTAATTTTTTTTTACTGATCTTTTGGATATTTTAGTTAAATTCCGTGACATGATTCATTCGATAAAATTCTCTGATATTTCCAGATTGATAAAAATTTCCTGACCTTATTTGTAAAAAATAGGATTACATGTTTTAACCATTCAAGGTTAGAGCTCCTAGGCAAAATTGATGGGCCTGATGTTGGAACTACTTTCTGTAAATAAGATTATCTTTTGTTTAATTGTCTGAATTGTCTTGTATTTTAAAGTTTGAAAAACAACTCATTAATATAAAAGTTAAATTGCATAATCCAATATTTCTATTGAATAAAATGAAATTTTGATATTTCACAAAAGTCGAATCTTAAAAAATAAAATTACTATTTTTTTAATTATAAAATAGAACCAACACAGAAAAAAAACTATACAAAATATCAAAGAATTTTAAACTAATTACTTTTCTTAATAGAAATCTAAGACAAATTTGGTTTAAATAAAATAGTTCATGAACAATTTAAAAAAAAATTTAAATATGAAATGTGTAGTTTAATTTTTATCACTTACATTTAAGTTACAAACTCAATGTAAATGAACAAAACTTGTTTAAAAACTTAATTAATTTCGACAAATTTCATTATCTGTGCTAATTTACAATCTCCTCCGTTTAATCCACTTTATCTTATTGCATTGAAAAAAATTATTTCTTCTTGAAAAATGCACAAATTTAAACTTGATTTAATATATGTCTACTTTATTACATTACACATTGCAAATATTTTTACATTAATCTTTTAATGCAACAATGTATCATTTCAGTCGACATTCATTTGCTGCATTATTTATCATTTCAAGGTAACAATGTATTGAAATTTTTTTAAAAATTTCATTTTCAAATCGATACATATACAGTGCCCGCCGCTAATAAAATCACTGGATAACAAAATCAGCCGCTTTATAAAATCAAATCGGCAAGGACCGAATCGTTACAATATTAATACATGTTAAAAGCATCCTTTAATAAAATCAATGCATAAAATCAATCGAAGCAACAGTTACTCACAAGCCTGTGAAGCTGGCGTGGCTAGCATTTTCCTGCGCTATTCATAGTGTAAGAGTTAAGGAAAAATGTGGGTGGTAAGCAGCGAGTTCATAGAAATCAATGTCAATTCCTTGACTTGAATGAAGTTTGGAGAAACCTATCTCATTCAACAGGGGGTCGAATTCTTATCTTACTTTTTATTGAATGAACCATAGAAGGGAGAGAAGTTTCTTTTGTTATCTATCTTAACAGGGAACATGAATGGATTTCTAAAAACTGTGCGCATGTTCCTTAGCTATTGACGATAAACTGCAAACATCAGGAGAAAAATCTGATTCTTAAATTGTTACAAACATCAAAAATTGCAAAGTTATTTTCAATCAAGAAATGGAGGAATCAGACTCAGAAGATGAAATGAACTCATCAGTGCCATCTTCAATGGAAGTCAGAAAAGCACTTAATGTAGTGCGGCAAGCTTTAGAACAAAGAGGAGGAAATATCGAAAACTATAAAAACTTCTATAAACTCTCAAATGATGTTGAAAAGTTAATTTTAAATACTGCAACTCAAGCAACCATTGATCGGTTTTTTGCAAAACTTTTGTAAATTTAATCTTATGTAGGGTTTTACTTTATTAAAATAATTAAATTAGTTAAAATAAAGCATTAATGTTGTCA